TCACCGAAACATGTTGTTTTGAACTGATGTGACTACCTATACCTTAAATCCAAATTTATAATGACGTAAATACGAATATTCAATTGATGTGTTTTGATGATGACTAACTCAAATAGATCTAGTGTGGCTGAATGGATTTAAGTTTATAGATGTGGGCGATATTAGGAGTTGAGTATGTACGTTCATAAGGTCCTAGACTCGGTCAGGTGTCCGGGGATCACTCAACCTGTATGTCTGGAACCAGAATAGTATTTATACCCACACTGGGAAAGGCCACAGAATAAAATTCCAAACCTGAAGAAAAGGGCATTTAGACCCAGACTCAAACAGGGGAAGTCTTATCGAGTCATTTCTCTACGGAGATTGACTCCATGGTATGATGGGGATTAAAAGATGGAAAAATGATTAAGGATGTGATTTAACTTTTATTATGGATATGATAGAACTATAAAAAGGAAAAATTGACTTCACGTATTTACTACTTGATTTATTTGATTGTGGTTATGAATAATTCTATAAAATATACGTTGTGGTACCACTGAGCGGTTTCGCTGAGCGTACAGATATCTTTTTTGTGTGACTGTGCGTAGGTAAGAAGCATGATGGAGCTAATCCCGAAGGACGCTGAGGCAGAAGAGATGGCGGCATGGTGTGGGAACAATTTCACTTCATTATCTTTCCTTAAATTAAGTTTGAACAATTTTGGATCTTGAACCCATGTGTGTACTATTTTTAAATTCCTTAAGCTTCCGCAACGTTATTTTATTTTCCTACTCCCAAACAATTTATGATGTTGACATTTTGAACCATTTGAATTAATATTATTAAAATGTTTTCTTCAAATTATGGATGTTACTTTAATTCGGCTTCGTTTAATTTTAGATCGGTTTGGGACAAATTTGAGACAAAATTGTGCCGACCCACACGAAATGAGACACTAGAAGAGTGGCATCAAGCTATTTCGAAACGAGACAATGGGTTTAAAAATTTTGTCCACTACATTCAAATTAGATTAATTGTGATTAAATCCAATCTATCTAAAATAGACCCTGACTTCAAAAAAGTAACAGTGTGTTTGGTTGGGAAAGAAATATTTCAGAAGAGAACATTTTCCGTTTATTTTTGAAGAAAAATTCCTATTCATTCTCCGCCCTTGCAGCCATCCTCCATCCCCCCTCCATGCAACCCCATGCCCCAATCCTCCCACCTCGCCCCTTCGTACCCTGCCACCCCGTCAACCCCCACCGCACCACCCCTACCCCATCCTATCCTTCTATCCATCGTCTACACCCTCCTTGCTTGTCCACCCCTTACCCCACCCACCAAATCCCTTTCCCCACCCCATTGTCCTCCATCACTCGTCAATACGTGTTATCCACCGCTACTCCTTCCTCCTCTACCCCACGCCAACAATCCCACCCTACGCCGCCCGCCTCCCTTGTTGCTAAATAGTTTAAGATTATCTTTAAAACATATTTTTAAATATCAATTTGAAAATCTTAACAATTAAAAATGTGTTTTTTGGAAAAATAATTCTTTTCCTAGCAAACAATAAAAAATGTTGGGGAAAAATCATTTTCCTTGAACATCATTTACCCAAAATATTCTTCTCATAATTTTTTTTCTCCTTACCAAACACACACTAAGGAGGTATTTTTCTGTGTTTATAAGCTGGTCAAAATTGCTTATATGCAGTTTTTTATTTAAAAGTTAGATGATGACATGTTTCTCTATGCTTATAAGCTGACTTATAAGAAACTTATATGCCAGATAAAATAAGTAAGTATTACCTTCTTATTTTTAAGTCATTTTTTTGTTTAATCATTTTGATTGGATTATTTACAAAATATCTACTACCAATTATGAATACTTCCAAATGACTTTTCTATAACTTAATTAGTTTATTTTTAGAAAAGAATATTTAATTTATAATTAATTAATAAATTAAAAAATTATTATCAGCAATAATTATTAAGCACATAGAGCTCAAAAATGCCTTGAGAGGTAAAAACCCAACTAAGAGGGTGTTTAAGATTGATTAACTTGTGCATAAAGTGATTTCCACAAAAGCTGAAAACAAAAGCATCTCATAATTGCTTCTCCGAAACAGTTTCTATGTACAAAATAGTGGCGCAGAAAATTAGAAGCTGTCATGCCAAACAGAGTGAAACCACATTCACTCAAAGCAAAGGCTAAATTCTTAAAAGCAGCGCACTGTCAAACACCCTCCTTAAGGGCATGTTCTTTTCACCTGATCTGATTGATTCTGATTTGATTTAAATAAGTTCTAATCTGATCTGAATGTAATTATATTTAAAAATATTTCTGATATAATCTAATTTGATTTGATCTGGTCTGATTTGATTAAATCTGATTCTTATAAGAATAAGTGATAATTAAGAAAATTAAGTTGCAGAGACCTAAGACTATTTAGAGGGTGTTTGAGATTGTGGTGTATTATTGGAAAAATATAAGTTTTAAATAAAGTAGAAAGCAAACATTTCTAAGTTTGTTTAAAAGAACTTCTAGAGCCTATTTTAGAATGGAGAAGACATAATCTAAAAGGAGAAGCAAATTGTCAAAACACCACTAATAACATTTTAATGAAGCAAAAACTTAGTTTAGTTTTTAAATGGAAAGACAAATACCCTCTTATAGAAGTTCGTTCGAGTGAAATGGATATAAGATCACTGTATAAGATTTGGCGCCATCACGATGCAGCTCAAAAATATACGAAGTAGAGACGAGATAACAAGACGATAGAGATTATCCGCGAGGATCGACTGATCGATACAGCAGGTTTTCACTTATCTAATTAAATATTTGCAACTATTCTCCCTCTCAATCCTTTTGAGAAAGTGCTTCTGATATTACTCCAGTTCGTCTGTAGGAGTTCAAATTGTATGCTGTTCGTCCGTTTTATTCCCTGGATGTTCAGCTACTTTTCAATCCCAAGTGCCGATTGTTTTCTGAAAATTTTCCGTTTTTAAAATGTTCCTTCATTAGGTTTTCTAGGTTTTTCTGAGCGCTGTTTTACGCTGTTTGATTCTTAGGTTTTGACATATTTTCCACCGGCTAGATTCTGCTGTGTTTGAAGGATCCTAAACATTTCATTTGGATTTCAGGTAGTTCTCGTTTTCTGTTGTAATCTGCATACTCTGTATTATGGAAGTTAATTTTTGTTAGATATGATATCCTTTTGTATTTAATTTACATTGAATGCTTTGTGTTTTTTCACCATCTGATTTTTGTTTTTGGTGCTCATAATTCTAGGACTTCATAGATGCTATTTTTATGGTAGTAGTATTTTTTCATTGGAAAATTTGATATTTTGGTTCAACAATTTGATGCAAGATAGTGTTTGAACTCTATTTGATGCGTTCTTGGATTTTCTTAAAACCAACTTGTTTAGGTTTTCTAATTAACATGCCTCCAGAAGTATAAAGTCACAACCAAAGCTTTATTGATTTCTGACTAAGACTTTAGGATGTTTCCTCAACTTCGCATCTGCAGCCTGCAGTGGGTATCTATAATCCGTGATTATATTCATATTAGTTGTTGAAGAACTGAAATTTATTTATGATGGAACAAGTTATATAGTTTTAACTATTAATTGTTAAAAATGGTTCAAATTACTGAATTTTGTTCCAAGGTTATCGGTGTATAGGAATTCAAATGACAATTTCACCTGTGTTGAGTGTGTTCGATGTTAGTGATTTAAATCAATACTGTTCAATTCAGCAAACATTAATAACTTAAAGATTCATTTCAATGCAACAGTGTCAGTCCGTCTTATGAAAACAAAATTTCTCCTTACACTCTTTATTTGTGAGTTTATTAAATGAAAATAAAATCAGAATGTCAGACGCCCTTGTTTGCTGCTGTCATAATTGCAAATGGGATGAATAATAATGTGGATTGCCTGAAATTGTTTGAGGATTTCACAACCAGTGTACTTGTGCATACTTTAGAACTTGCTGAATATTACTGAGAATACCCAATAAGATGTCATTAAATTGTTCTATGAAAAATCGATTTGTAGTTACTCAAGGCTGAGATGAGATGCAATGCATGTTGGAGAGAGCTGGAGGGTCAGGGTATCTCCACCACCTGTGGCCACCTCCTCTGTATCCAAATCTTCATTTATGTAAGAGACACATGAGCACATGTACATGGTGAACACCTTCCATCAATGCAAGTTTTGTAGCATGTGGAGTTTCCTTAATAATATCAATAGGTACAGAAGATGCACGTAAGATTCTTACTAATGATGCTGCCTGTCCTATATGTGATCAAATTCTCTCCAAAAGGTAAGTGGTAGCTAATAATTATAACGTCAATCTTTTCTGTTGAAGAGCTTTAAGTATTATTGAGTACAAGTCACTGGATCTTTCTGGTACAAGCACATGCTTTTTATATCTCTTTGTTCAGTATATTTCAATCTTGGCTCTAAAGCATATCAAGTTTAGATTATAATATGTTTTCTCTTCTTCTGGTATATTTTTGCTGCTACAAGAGATATAGTTGCTCTTTGTGGCAGCCAATTAACAGTGCAAATATATAATTTTTTTCCAGTTATTTGCTACATGATCATCGTTTTTATCAACTTTCTTTACCAATTTTCTTCATTGTCACTAAGCGAATACTTTTGATTCACAGCCTCATGAAACCTGTGGATGTCAATCCAAATGATGAATGGATAAATGTAAGCAAACATTTTTTAAAGAGCTCCTTTATAAAGTTAGTTTCTTTTGTTCACATCCAGGGGAAACTCTTGACTCTTCGAAGCACATGTGTCTGTCATTCTAGTTTTTATCTACTTTGTTTTGTTTATTAGCAATCACATCCTGCTAATTCTCTTCCATGTTCTTACAGATGGCCATGGTTGGGATATCACCACAAATCTGTATCCTTACAATCTCTAAATATTAGTGAATAAAAACTTTCTTAGTTTGTCAGCAAGTGAACTATACAACTACAACTATTTTTGGGAACGATAAGTATTTTAAGCTAATGCTGATTCCTTTTAATGGGTATGGTGGTACATTTCGTTTTGAAGTACTTATTAGATCAATTTGCTTTGCTGTTCTCTTTTACCATAGTTATTATCAATATTAGTGATGAAGAGTGCATACAGAAGTGTGATGTTCTACATTGGGCAAAAGGAATTGGAGATGCAATACAAAATGAACCGGGTAGTTGCTCAGTGCCGACAGAAATGTGAGGTTATGCAAGAAAAATTCACTGAAAAGCTGGAGCAGGTGCATACTGCATACCAGAAGATGGCTAAGAGATGCCACATGATGGAGCAAGAGATCGAGAACTTGTCCAAGGACAAGCAGGAGCTTCAAGACAAGTTTGCTGAAAAATCCAGGTCAGTTTATCAATTCCCCCTGGATGACCAGAAACTCACTGTTCTCAATATTTCAAATAAGACATGTTTATGCAATGAAATGTCAGATATCACATTTTTTTCTTACCTACCAGGCAAAAAAGAAAACTTGATGAAATGTATGATCAGTTGAGGAATGAGTTTGAATCAGTAAAACGTTCAGCTATTCAGCCTGCCAAGAATTTCTTCCCAAGAACTGAGCCCGATTTGTTCTCAAACACTACAAGTATGATGGATAACAGAGACCATCTTAGAAAAGGTAACTCTGATCTTTTTATACATACAAAACATCATTATTGAAGATGATTCTAGTTTGGCAACACTGGAAACAGCCTCTCTGCTTCCCACGTAGGGGTAAGGACTGGACTGCGTACATGCACCCTCCCAAGACCCCACCCTGTGATTTTAATTGGGCTTGTTGTTGTTGTATTCTAGTTCGGCAACATGAATGTAATATGTGTAATTATTGCTACGATGCCAATGATGTTTGATTTACTGGCTACCCACACCCACTTTCTCCATTCTGTCGAGGCTCAAACCCCAATGACACCAAGTCTGAAGTCTCCATGAGATTATCCTAGTAGGTACTCAGGTGGTAGATTTGGAACACGGCTCAGGTCTCCCCACTGGTGGTGACACCTAGTGGTAAGGCCTCCACCTAAGAGGCCACTTATGGTTTACCTCCTCTCTACATCCAGAAATTCTGGTAGATGGGGGAACAATTGGTCAGGGCAGCTCCCCTGATTTTTTTATTAAGAAAAAGACAATTTGAAATGACAAAAATAATGAATTTTATTTTAAACATTTATTGAAGGTAAAATTTTATTTAATCAATAATGTAAAATTTTATTTTAAACAATAAATTAAACACAATAAAATACACTTTACTTCAATAATAAGATTAAACAAAAAATTAAAAGTTAGCTTAATTAAATAAGGTTCCATTCATTTTTGTAGGGAGTAAATAATGTGAGATGAGGTCATGCAACCTAAAATATAATAATTTTTTGTTTTTAAAAAAATTAATTATTTAACACCAAAATTTAGTTTTAGATGGGGGCATGCAGCCTAAAATATAATAATTTTTGTTTTTAAAAAAATTAATTATTTAACACCAAAATTTAGTTGGGGGCATTTGCCCCCAATTGTTTGGGAGTAAATCCGCCCCTGTCTCTACATGTCTTGGGGTTGGCAGTGGAGATGTGCCTCGACAAGCATTTTTACTTTTTGGAACATGCTATGACTGCAATTAAACTGAATCATTTAAATAACTGAATCCATGCATCTAGTTTGTTGTCTTCAAATGTTTTTTTAGTAGCAATGTTACGTTTATCTACTAATTTTTGGGTGATCTAATATGTATAATAAGTTAATACTTCATAATTACTAGCCTGGATCATTTTAATAGCTGGTTGAGTCTAAATTTTTTGTTTTTTCTACTTCAAATTTTGTGTAGCAGATGTAACATTTAGGCAAGAAATACGAAGTATTAGTTAATGACTTAATGTGATATGCGTAATTACTTAATTATTACTAACCTGAATCATTTAATGAACCAGTCAAGTCTGGATATTTGGTTTTTGTGCTTTCAAATCCTGTTTGAGTAGCAGTTGAAGCATTTATGTATGAAAAAAAATTTGATGTAAACTGCATAAAAATTATGATTTGTTTGAATAATTTAAACTAGTTGTGACTTGTGAATATTCTTTTTTTCTTTCCAAATATGAGTAGGAGTTGTAGCATTTATGCAAAAAATATTAGTTGATGACATATTGCAGGTTCGTTGTTGGTTGCCACTCCTAAAACTCCAGGGCCAAGAGAAGATATGTGGCCTCCCACAAGACAAAACAACTCTGACTCTGGACACTTTGACGTATCCAACGTTTCACCTGCAAAACAATCTGGGTTTCAAATGGATGGCGGCGGAAACAAAAGAATGGCAGGTCTGCGTTCTGCTTTTGGTGTTGGACCCGGAGCTGGCACTGGAAACCCATCAATGACACTCAGGAACCTCATCCTTTCACCTATTAAGAGGCCTCAGCTTTCTCGTGGTCAACCCCAAATGTTCACGTAAGAACTGTTCTTCAAGTTTACTGACGCATTTTATTTTTTAAATTTCTGGACTACATGCAATCTGCATTCTCACACACTATTTAGTCTTTCCCAGGTTGTAGACTTGGTGACACAACATTGCTGCGTTTTGTCGGTTTTGATATGGAAAGCACTGTCTTCAAATGTTACCATGCTCATGACACTTCCCCAAACAAGAAATTGTAAATTTCCAGGTTTTCGTAATGGGTGGAGCTACTGCACAAAGAATGGATAAAACCTACCAAACAAAGATAGCTGTGTAAGTTTGTTAATTACCTCTAGGGGCACTTCTGTTTATCTTTTTGTGGATAAACAAACACGCTATGCATATTATTAGAAATGCAATTATTGAATAATCTTTGTGTTGAAGCGAGTATTAAAACATCCTAAAAACAATCTGGCGATGTTTGAATAATCCATGGCTTTACTAGAGGTTTAAAACATGCTAAAATGCCCGTGAGCCATGTTTTCTTTATATTTATTTAACAAAGAGCATTTTTCGCTAAAAGCGACACACCATGTCAATTGTCAAGGCATTTTGTAAGGTTTTTGGTAATTTCTGCATGCAAGTTAGCAAAGTCAAGTAGAAAATGCTCTCGTTCCTCAAGCCAAAAAGTGTTCCTCAAGCCAAAAAGTTTATGTTTTGGCTTCATGGAGGTTTAAAAAAAAATACTCCGATGTTGATAAAAAAGTGTGCTTGATACTTGATTGAAGAGAAATTTTAACCAAATATTCTTTCTTTACAAAATGTGAAAAATGTAAAGTTTATTGTATGATAGGCAACAACAACAAAGCCTTATTCAACTAGGTGGGCTCGGCTATATGGATCAAACAACGTCATTATGCCTTATCATGCACCACATTTGGAGTGAGATCGTTCACATGAAGGCCCCCCTGACCACTTCGTTTCAAGTTTTCTTAGGTCTGCCTCTTCATCTAGCCATATGTCTATTCACTACTTGATCAACCATTTTCATTAGATGCTCTATTGGTCTTCTCGATCTCAATATGTCCAAACAACTCAGAGGAGTTTTAACCATCTTTTCTACACTAGGTGTCACTTTAACTTTAGCTCTCCTATTTTCGTTCCTTATTCTATCCATATGTGTATCCATCAGAGCATCTTTATTTGACTACATTAACCTTGTGTTCATGTTCACCCTTTGATGGCTAACACTCTGTTCCATACAATATAGTTTGTCTAATTGCAGTATGGTAAAATTTTTCCTTTATTGTTAAAAGTTTTTTTGTCACATATAAAGTCGAAAGCACTCTATAATTTTGATCAACCGGATTGAATTCTGTGGTTAACATCATTCTTTATTTTTTCATTGTTTTTAATGATACATCCAAGATATTTAAATTTCTTTACTTGTGGTATAATATCTCTCCAACTTTCTCCTTCTATTACTATTTTTCCTTCGGTTGCTAAACTTGCACTCCATGCACTATGTTTAGTGCAACTTAGATGCAAGCCATGCAACTCTAATGCATGTCTCCATGAATCCAACTTCCCATGCAAATCCTCTCGTGATTCGTCCATAGGGATGATGTCATCGGCAAAGAGCATGCACCATGTTATGGGTTCTTGGATATGCTCGGCAAGAACTTTCAATACTAGTGTAAAAAATCTCTAGTTACCTCACTTTGACTTCTCATGCTCGTTGTAGCATCATCGTAAATTTCCTTAGTCGCACGAATATACGCAATTTTTTCTTCCTTTTTCTCTAACACCTTCCACAATACTTTCTTGGCACACCGTGATATGCCTTTTTCCAAATGAATAAAGTCATGCGTAAATCTTTCTTCTCAGTGCGGTGGTACCTCTGCATCATTCTCATTACCAAGTATATAGTCTCTGCAGTTGATCTTCCTGGAATAAAATCAAACTAGTTCTCCAATACGAAGTCTCTTGCCTCAACATTTGTTCAACCACTCTTTCTTTCTCGCAACTTCATCGTATGACTCATGAGCTTGATCCCTCTGTAGTTTCCACTACTCCCCCTTATTCTGGTAAATAAGAACGAAAATGCTATTCCTCCATTCGATAGACATCTTCTTAGAACTTTGAATCTTATTAAAAGATTTAGTTAGCCACCAAGCACTTTTTAAAACTTCAATTGAGATGTTGTGTGGGTCTACGGCTATGCTATTCTTCGTCTGTTTTAGGGCTTTCTTAACACCAATTTCTCAAGTTCTCCCATAGTAATTAAAGTTTTGGTCCTCTTCCCATCGGAGCATGAGAGATTCACATGCTTCTGATTAAATAAATTATTGAAGTAGCTCTTCCATTGCTCATTTATGGTAGGATACACGAAAAGAAAGATGTAAACTGAAGGAGTATTTTCCTTTTCTTGAGAATTACTTGCTCAATCTTATTATCTGAAATATTTTTTTATTTTCCCATTAAAGATATGTGACTCACCATATATTTTTTTCAAAATAAATATAAACACTCATTTTATAATTATCAATATTTTTATTAAAAGTCATGAAATCAAAGGGTAAACATGGTTTTGAGACAGAATGTTGTTTTGATTTCTTGTTAAATTACCATTTAATGTATATAGTATGTCTATATAAATATTGTTTCAACAATTTCATATGATATTTTTTTAGTCCGTATTTTATGATAAATATGATAACTTTTTTTGATGGTCAAAAAATGCATAATTTATTATGATAATATCATCGAAGAAACAAAATCAGGTGGAAAAGATTCTCATAGCCCCGCCTGAACATCAGCATTTCCAGCCAAAGTATGAGCCACTAAATTCAAATATCTATGAATGAAATGAAATACAATCAAAAGAAGACATAATCAAAAGACATTTCTCAATATTAGATCCTAGATATGAGGCACGCTTAAAATGTTCACCTTCCTGAAGGGCAAAGCACCGCTGGGAACACGACCATTGCTCCCCTGCCCGAGACCGAGAAGTTGGAGCTGAATTAGCCGTCCCTCTCCTTGCCCAGTTATCATTCATCATTGACACTAATTGTGCAGTAATCTGAACAAGTGGAACGTGATGCTCCCAAACTGCAGAATTCTGTTCTTTCCAAAAACCCCACTATCCACACAATAAATACCTGTCCTTGCAATGACACCATTTGCATGCGTTGACGGAACCAATCAATACAAGAGGATGCCACAGCCCTTTCTCCACCCTTCCCCACGAATCTCCAGACCGAATCCACATACTTGCACCAAAGAAATATGTGGTCAATAGACTCACCTTGAAATCCACGTAACGGGCACACCCCATCAACATCCACCCGTAACAAGAGTTTCTATTGTAGGGGGGGGCATATAAATGCGTTAATCCTAACATAATATAATATAAAATCTATTTACTCAATAGCACGCTAGATTATAAATTTCTTCAACATCACAAAAATTATCATAGGTTGTTGAATTTTCAAAAACCTAACATAACAATTAACGTGCCCAATGACCAAAACTTGGAATAACCAGCTCCTTACATAAGACATTGGTTGAAATTGGTCTGAAGTGATAATGTATCACCAAATTGGGGCTCTTTATTACTCCCTACATCTCAAAATGTTTGCCATATTTGTTTCTTTAAAAGTCACAAAAACTTTTGTTTATTTATACGCTTTCATTGATTACTTGATAAAATAAAATATTTTAGACACCTCTTATTTCAAAGAACTTTTCATGTAGTTTTAAATATCTAAATTTTATTTTTTATTTCTATGCCAATATTTAAATAAAATAGATTGCAAATGTTTGATATTTCACCTCGTTTTTTGAAATGTGGTAAACATTTAGGAATAGAGGGAGTATGCTTTTCCAATAAAATGACCAAAAATAATCTTAATTTTTGACATTATAAAGAATATTTTGCACTTTGTAAAAATTTGACTTGTGAGTTATTATAGCTTTCAAGTATAAGAACTCGTAAACATAAAAGGTAACTGAATATACTAAGATACTAATAACCTAATATAATAGTAATAATATTTCTTAATAATAATTAACTAACCATTAATAATAATAGCCTTACCAATAATAATAATAACAATAATATTAAAGACTACTATTAATATTTAAATATTATATTCTACTTTATCATCCATAACAGCCCCCTTATTTAGGAAAGAGTTACTTAGGGTTTACAAGAGAAAACTCATCGGGCCATTATAAATGCGTTACTCCGTACATAATGATGGGTGTATTCCACTCAGGACCCGGTTCAAATCCAGCTCCACAGCAATATTGACCGGTCAGATGCAAGTATATCAGGATGGAAGATCTAAACAAAAATATGGACGACCGGTCGGATTCAAGAAGCCGACCGGCACGATATGTAGGCTTACCAGTTAGTGTACATGACTTCATGCTGGCAGTCTTCTATCCCTTCAGAATGCATGATCGGTGAACCGACTAGGTAGATTGCTATGGTGTGAAAGTGTCAGCACGAATAGCTTCAAAAGTGATTGGACGGTAGAGGCTAATTTCAATGAAAGATTGTGGGAATATTCTCACATTCTCATGAGGGCACTATGCGCAAAAGAAGTATTATCAGCAGAAGATGACAAGGGAATACGATAAAATACTCCGGGACAAAAGGAAGTGATACGGATAGTTAATTATAATATTTTAATTAGTTATATTATTATTTAGTAGTTATTTATTATTATTTAGTGATGGTCTAGGGTTTTAGTATGGGCCCGAGCCCATTAGGTCAATTAGGTTATCTTCATTCTTTATATATTGTAATCCTTCGTTATTATTAATCAATCAATCAATAATCAAGAATTCTCTTCTCTGGAGTCCGGAAACGCTCGAAGTTTTCCATTTGGAGCTTGAAGACGCTTGAAGTTCTTCCTATCCGATACTCTTTCCGTATCAAAGTGCTCTCGTAGAGAGAAATCCAAAAAAACAAAAAAAACAAAAAAAAAACAAAAAAAATCAAAGAAGTCGTCAAACCAGGTCTACCTCAATCCAGGGGCTTGCCGCCGGCCTACCTCAAGAAGTCATCAAAGTGGAGTTCCAAGGCTTGCCGCCGGCCTACCTCAAACCAGATCGCCGCCGTTAGATCGCGTGGTGCCGCCCCAAATCGCACGTTGCCCTGTTCTACCGCCGCCGGCAACCCATCTCCACCACCAGCCGCCTTGCAGATTGAAACCCTCATCGGTAAGACGGCAACATCGACATCTCCTTGCTGAAATCACGCCGCCGTCTCCGCCAAATAGCTTTGCTGCTTACCAGATCTGCCTCAATTGTGGGCTAATTGATTCAATTGGCCACTGCCTCCAAGAGAAGGAACAAAAACCAGGGATCACCAAGACAAAATTTGGAAATTAGCAACATTGAGGAGTGCCGCCATGCCCCATGCATCATCCACCGGTATAGATCTCTGCAACTAGGTTCGTGATATTGGTCGGGTGTTCGGGCAAGTGCAAAAAGTAATGGAAGATCGATTTGATCGGATAGATGTTGCGTTGTCGGAAATTCAAACCCACTTGGCAAAGTCTGCGGGCGGTAGCATTAACGAAGTCACCCATGCACCCAAGCTGGATATGCCCAAGAGTGATGGCTCCGAACCCGTGCGTTGGTTGCATTTGGTAAAAGAATACTTTGCATATTATAATACCCCCTCAAAGGATCGTCTGCAATATGTGACATCGATGTTGGAAGGGGCCGCTGCAGATTGGTTCCGTTGGCGTATGAATTACGGGCTCATTAATGATTGGGATGATTTTGTGCACAAGTTTAAAATTCGATTTGATCCTTTTCATTACGTCTTTATGGAGAAGATACCCGAAGAGGCCCAAGACATAGTTATTCAGGCAGGGGAAGGAGCAGTTGCGCACCCAACACTTGTTGTCATGGACAAAGGTGGATCTCAGAAATTGAGTGCTGGAGCACACACCAAGGATGACATATACAGTGGGTCTGATGCCATGGGGAAAGAGGGGGATACCCCTGGTGGCGAGGATGCTCGGGTGTACTCCTTGTGCTGGAGACGTCGCAAAGGGCCAAACATTGAGATGTGTCATCGATCCAAATAGCCAACACCCTCTTTCTTTAGTTTGGTCTCGCACAATCATGATGTCTCACCACCCCCTTATCATCAAGTCGGAGAATCGGGATTTTAAGGGAGTTGCTAGACATGTTATTTTTGGGTGTCACCCATATTTCCCGCACTGCGCCCCAAAAGTCAAGCCGGGTAAAGATTGGTCAACAAGTGAACATCTTCTTTTGTTCATCGCTTTCTCACCTATCCAAAAACATGAGTGGGAACCTCCACCTTGAGGACAAGGTGATTTTCTAAGAGGGTGGGAATGATACGGATAGTTAATTATAATATTTTAATTAGTTATATTATTATTTAGTAGTTATTTATTATTATTTAGTGATGGTCTAGGGTTTTAGTATGGGCCCGAGCCCATTAGGTCAATTAGGTTATCTTCATTCTTTATATATTGTAATCCTTCGTTATTATTAATCAATCAATCAATAATCAAGAATTCTCTTCTCTGGAGTCCGGAAACGCTCGAAGTTTTCCATTTGGAGCTTGAAGATGCTCGAAGTTCTTCCTATCCGATACTCTTTCCGTATCAGGAAGTCACCTCGCGCTGCCTGGGAACGTGGGATGATGCGGACACGCGGTGATCTCTTCCCCTATCTTCCTAAAAATACTTTTGTAACCCTAAAATGAAGGGATCTGAATTTTATCTCTCTATAGCATTTTGTCAACGGCACACCTCAGAAGTCTACAGTTTCGACGGGGCAACAAAATGACACCTTCCTGCTCTTCCTCCCCAAAGCAACCTTCCTATCTCTATCTATGTTTCTATTTTTTTTACATTGTCCCTCCATGACTAGCTAGTATTTATACTAAGGGAAGGAAGTGTGTAGAATAGTGGAGGGAGATGGAGAGTTAAACATGTGGGGAAATAAAAATAATTAAATGAGTGTGAAGAAAACAATGTGGGTGGCGTGAGAAACAAAGGAAAACAAAAAGTTTTCTTGCTCCGTTGGTTTAATACTACGTGTCCCATTTGCACAGTTTCGATTATTATGTATTTTTGGAAAAAATATAAAACTTATACCGTTAAGTTTCATATTTTCCACACATCATTTTAACATTATTTGTTTGTCAAGAAAATAGGTTCACTTGAACAAACTATATTATTCTGATAATAGAGAACCAAAATATTTTTTATTCCCTTTCACTTTATTCTATTTTTTCATCTCTACTAGTAATTAATTGTTTAACTTGAATTCCAAATTGATTGTTTCTAAATAAATAATAGTAACATTTTTTTAAATTTAAATTTTATTATTATTATTTTTTCGAATATTTTTAATTTTTTTATATTTTTATTTTTTTTGCACTAGAAAGTTAGAATTTCTAGACCGGTTTTAGGGGCATTACAGAAGAAGCTGAGGGATCAATCGTCCTACGAGTGAAGTTTGCCATGGGAGAGAAAACTGTGTGGACGAAGATGAGATTCATCTTGGTAGACATCAAATGCGTCCACAACGCCATCCTTGGACGACCAGGTATCAACAAGGTCAAAGGAGTGATCTCTATGGCCCACCTATGCATGAAGTTTTACACCCAGCCGAGGGAGATCAGCAAAATGCGTGAGAACGCTATGCATGGGCAGTGAAAAGATGACGTAGAGCATATATATTATCTGATAGGAGATAACGAAAAGAGAAACCCAAGAGAGGATCAAGCCATAGGCTGAAACGAGAGAGATCAAACTCTACCCGGGTGATTTCGAAAAGGTTGTGCGTGTACGTGCGAATTTGCCCGAGGACTTGCTAAAGGAGGTCACCCGGGTAATTAAAGAGTACACAGGTATGTTTTCCTGGAGCGTAGAGGACATGCCTAGGAATGATCACTCCATCATCTGCCACCGCCTGGCTTTGATGGAGGGATCACGATTGGTCAGGCAGACGAAGCGATACCTGGGCAGCGAACACTGGGATTTCGCGAAGAAAGCGGTCCGAGACCAACATAACAAATTATCATAGGTCGTTGAATTTTAAAAAACATAACAAAAGAATTAGCGTGCCCAATGACCAAAACTTGGAATAACCAACTCCATACATAAGACGTCGGTTGAAATTGGTCTAAAGTGATAAAGTATCACTAAATTGGGGCTCTTTATTATTCCCTTCATCTCAAAATGTTTGTCACATTTATTTTTTCAACACTGACGAAAACTTTTTTTATTTATACGATTTCATTGATTATTTGATAAAATAAAATATTCTTGACAACTCTTATTTCGAAGAAATTTTCATGTAGTTTTTAAATATGTACATTTTATTTTGTTATTTCTATACTAATACTCCCTCCGTCCAAAATTAAAGTTCCCACTTTCCTTTTTGGTCCGTCCACAAATAATGTTCCCATTTCCTTTTTTGGCAACTTTATTTTAGTAAAAAGACTAAATTGCCCTTCTTTATCTTTTACTTTTCCTCTCTCCTTCCTCTCCTCTCTTTGTTTTCTTTCTTTTTTTTCCCTTTTTCTGGTTCGCACCTTCTCATTCTTGTTCTTCTTTCCTTCTCTCTCTCTCTATTCTTCCCCCCCCCCTTCTGATTTTTTTCTTACTCCCTCCGTCCCACTATATTTGTCCACTTTCATTTTTACACACCATCCAATGCACTTCTTTAATCCATTTTATCTTGTAATTTGTATATTAAAAAATTATAGAAATTATATATCAATAATCTATATGTTAAGACAAATCAAACAAGATCAGACATGACTATATTTAGTCTTACACATTGAGAGAATTTGATAAGTCAAAATGCTTAGATGAACAGTTTCAAAAGTCAAAAGTAGACGAATATAGCGGGACGGAGGTAGTACTTTTCTTCTTCTCCTCCTCCGTTCTGAATTTTCCGTTCTTCATCTCCTTCCGAGTTCCGATTTTATTTCTTCTTCTTCTTCCCCCCTTTAAATTTTTCATTTCTATCCTTCTACTTTTTTCTTCTCCCTCTTCTTCCCCCTTTTGATTTGTCCTTTCTATTCTTTTTCTTCTTCTTCGCCAGATCTGAGAAAACTAATTTAGATCTGTGAATTGAAGAAAAACTGTCTTCAGATCTATTCCATCTTCATCTTCTTCGGAGTTAATGAAGAAATCTGATTCAAATCTTTTTTATCTTATTCATCTCCTTATCTCTTCGGTTTTTACACCTTAGTGCGAACAAGATGCTCAGTTTGGGTCGTCGGAATTTTTACACTGGTCGGAAATTCACTGGATTTCGACTGCCGGAATTTCTCTCTGGTGGAAACAATGGGGTTGGGCTGCAGGAACTTGGGACAGGGGCAGTCAATAGGGACGGAGTGTGGGTAGGGTTGAGGGGTATTTTGGGAAAGTCAATGTAAATTTTAACTTTTATTAAACTCCGTGCCGAGTCAAAGCGGGAACTTTAAATGTGGACGGAGGGAGTATTTAAATAAAATAGATCGAAAAAATTCAATGTTTTACTTCATTTTTTGAAATGTGGTAAATATTTAAGAGCGGAGGGAGTATACTTTTCCAACAAAATGACCAAACATAATCTTATTTTTTGACACTAGAAAGAATTTTTTGGCACTTTGTACACTTATGACTTGTGAGTTATTAGAGTGGCAAATGGGTTGAAATTCTACGACGATTAACCGAAAGTAATAAAAGTAAGCCGGAGTATACTCATGATCTTTATTGAATTGCGGACTAATGAGCATATCATCAAATTGGGGCTTTTTAATGTGTTTTCCCGACAAAATGCCCTAAAGTAATCTTATATATTGACATTTTAAAGAATATTTTGCACTTTCAGATATTATAATGAGTTATAAATTATAATGCAAATGGGTAGAAAATATATGCAATCTACCGAAAGTAATAAAAATAACTCTGAGTAAACTTTTTCACATCATTATCATGATTCACCAATAACCAGATTCTATAATCAATCAAAAGTTTAAGGCTGATTGTGGTAATCGTCAAACTCTTCTATGTACTAGAAATAAATTTCACTCTTTAATTGTGAATATAAGAAATATCTAATTATGATTAAAGCATGTTTCTTATTCCAAAATAAGATATTCAATATTCTTATATCAAAATAGACTTTAAATTTAAATATTATGTGAAATTTTAATACCTAAAAAATGTACTTGATTAAATCAATCTTTGATATATTATCTAAGCATTTAAATGTAAGTAATACTTCCTCCGTCCCAAAAAGTTTTACACATTTTGACTAAAATAGAAATTAAGGGAAGGATAGTTTTGTGTTGACTTTCCAAAAATAACCTTGATTTGATGTATAAAAGTAGGATGTGATGTGTAGATTATAAGGAAAAAAGTATGATGTGATAGGTAGGGTTTGAAAAAGTAAAGGATAAAAGTGGTTTTTTAATGAAAATGGGTAGGAGATTGTGAGACGCAATTTTTTTGAAAGGTGTAAATCTTTTTGGGACGGAGGGAGTAATATTTTAAATACATAATTTTATATTTTTTCGCTAACTGTAGCTTTTTAAAAAATAAATAAATAAATAAATAAATATTTTTCTTCGTGACGTTAGTTTTGAAAATTCTGTTTAAAAAAAATTATTTAGTGGAACGCCTTTGAAAAACAGTTTTATTCAATTTTTTTAGAATCGAACCCTCTTTAAAAAATAATAATAATTTATTTTATTTGGAAAATTTTTCAAAACAAAAAAAGAAGTTAGACAATTATTTAGAACGAAGGGCGACGCGAACACATTTCCTTTTTGATAGAGCGACTACGACATACCGCCTGAAAGAAATTCTGGTGAAAACAATTCGATCATCAATGAAGCAGAGCATCGGCGGCAATACATATGATGAAGAAATGTCGAGTGATGAAGATAAAGTGACAAAGTCATCAAGTATCTGTCAAGCATGGAACTGTTGAGACAGAGAGAGCAGCTACAAAAACTCAAAACTAAAGTTTGCAAGTCCTTGGATGAAGCTCCGATACCATGATAGAATACTAGAATAATTATATTACACATACAGTGAATAATAGAACACATGGTAGAGTATATATAGAATGGATGAAAACCCCAACTAGGAATTGAACACAATAACAAAAGATGACTAAAAATACAAAATCTACCCCAAGT